AGGCCTGGAGCAAGAGCGAGCCCGTGCCGACCTGCGGCCCGGCCGTGGGAGAGCTGCGCGCCGCCCACGCTGCCCCCTCTTTTCGGGCCGGGCGAACGGGGGGATAGCAAAGGGGGGGCTGAGAATCAGCTCACGTGTAGCTGATTTTCCCGGCGCCTCCCGGCGCCGGGAGGCGCCCGTGTACCGAGGCATGGGCCCCTCGGCGGGGGCGAAACCAGCTGCATGCAGCAGATTTCGTACCCCCCCTTTCCCTATCCCCCCCCTGTCGCTCGGGCCCGATTCCTGACGCGGTCCCTCCGACCCCCTGCGCCACAGCTCCGTCCACGGGCTCTGGAGCAGGAACAAAGCCAGGCCGAACTGCGGCCAGGGGCGCAGAAGGGCCACGGGCCGCCCTACGCTGCCCCTCGCTGCCGCCGTGCGTGACGCTCCGAGGTCTGGCCCTGCAGGAGGACAGGCAGCGCCAAAGGGCGGTCCGCCCCCTGAAGGGGGTTGCCGGCTCCTCCTGAGGATCGAGGCTGGAGGACCGCGGGGGCCTCTGGCGATGGTTGGTGTGCTGTCGGATGCCCTGGGTGATTCGGGGAGTCCTGGGGGTCCTCCTCCTCCTCCTCCTCCTCCTCCTCCTCCTCCTCCTCGAGGTGGTGGCGACCCCCCCCCCCATGGTGACCCTCCTTGGCACTGCTTTGGGAAGACAGGATCTGGTCCTGTGGGACACGGGCCCCGGACCCTGGGACCCTCCCCCAGGACGAGCGCTGCCTCCTGAGTCGTTTCCTGACACTCTCGGGGCCCGAGGAGGGCTCCGAGAGATCGAAAACGGCGAGCAACCTCGTCGGGACCTGTCCCCCTCCTCAGGACCCGCTGCCCCCACGGCGACAGAGAAGGCTGGGCGTGGCTTAATGGGGGGGTCACAAATGGGGGGGTCAGAAAAGGTCCCCTTTCGTGCCCCTTTCGGGCCCCTCCAGAGCCCCAGGGGGCTCGTTTAGGTACCGTTTGGGTACCTTTTCGGACCACACTCGCCACCCCCCCATTTATGATCCTCCATTACGCAGCGCCCAAGGTCCCCCACCGAGGGGGCTGCCGGCTCCTCCGCTCCCATCCCGAGGCTCGATGCCCGAGGGCCGAGAGGGCCTCTCTGGACGGCTGCTGTTGTGGGCCCACGGTGGCCCCCCTCTGGTTGTAGATACCAGGACAACGGACACTCTAACAGACCTATCACTAAATTTAAACATGTGTTTACAATGTCGGAACTTGTTCTAAACATGTTGCAGACATGTTTCTTACATGTTGAAAACATGTTTGACACATCTCTTGGACATCTGGGCATGACTTGGCAGCATGCGTCCTCTCCACCGATCGTCCTCCACGACCCTCCGGCACTGCCCTGGGACGACGGGAGGCCCGGGAGCCCCCTGGCGGAGCCGGCGGAGCGCCGGCAAGGGGCCCCGCCGGGGCCGCCGCGCGCCGCGCGCCGCGCGAGGCGCGGGGCGGCGCCGCGGCCCTGCGGCTCGCGCGGAGCGCTGCGCGCAGCGCCCGCGAGCCTTGCGGCCGCGAGGCGCGCGGGGCGCGGCCACCGCCGCGGCCCTGCGGGTGGCCCGAGGGCATCCCCGGGGGTGCAGCCGGCCCCTCGAGCAGAGCAGGGCAGGGCCTGCGCGAGAGGGCGCCGCGGGGGGAGGCGCCGGGGCGCCGCGGAAGCAGCAATAGGTGAAAACAGAGGAGGAGGAGGAGGAGGAGGAGAAGGAGGAGGAGGAGGAGGAAGAGGAGGAGGAGGAGGCGGAGGAGGAGGAGGCGGAGAAACAATACACATTGTGCTGAAGGTGCGTGTGCCATGCTACTCACTTTTGTCAACACCATGTTACTCGAGCTCACCCCTAGTCCTTCGAATGATAAGCCAAAAGGCGATGACAGTCTCAGGGATGGCCCCTCAGATACTGAGGGCATCCTGAAGATAGGCACCTAGAGAAGGTGATGCCAACACACAATATTGGACGCACAAATACATGCTAGGACTACGTGTCCTCCTTCGAGGCGTGCGTCCGACGCGAGCATATAGCATAACAATGATGTGGTAAATCGTTTCCCGAGCGGTACGGCCAGAAAGCGTACGCCACGACGCATATGCTAGAATGTTTCTCGGTGCGCGCATCGCCCACACATAGTAATAGTATGTTGGGGTGGCAGCGAGGATAGGGACATGTTCCATGCTGGTAAGGGGGGTTGGGGGGGGGGCGAATTGGCGAGCGCGCGAACGAGTGGCGCTCTGCCTCCCATCCCTTGCTGCTGCTAGCGTTTTCGGGTCGGCCGTCGGACTGGGGGCCATGGACACCTACCTCCTGCGCCCTGCGCGGCGGGAGCCACTGGCCCCTGGACATGGCCCCGGCTGCGCCCCGTGTTGGACGAACCCTCCCGTCCTCGGGTCGATGAAGCCGTGGTTGTCTGGCGTGCAGCCACACGTCGATGTCGACGTGAGCACGGCCGAGCAGAAGAAGCAGAAGCGAGTGCCACA